ACGATGGGATCTTAGAGAGGATGCAAGCAAGGAGGGGGCTTATACTTAATATCAGGAAGTGGCAGCTGAAGTTCCTGGGACACATAATGAGGAAGGAAGCCCTGGAGATTCTGATACTCACGGGCCGAAATGAGGGAAAGAGAGACAAGTTAAAACAGCACATGACATACCTGGCTGTCTTAAGCAAGTAGATGAGAGAAAGTGGTCTGTGGAAGGTGAGAGGGAAAGAACTTGTTGAGAGCTGCAAGGGGTAGAGGAAGGTGCAGAGACATAATCGCCTACGTCTTGAAAAGTCACAGCACATAGAAAGAAAAAGAAACATGTACGTTATTACCTGTAATAATCGCCCCTGACCACAAATTACGGGTATAGCAGCAGTGGACACATTTTTAACTTCCGCCAAACCTTATTTTGTGGTGCATTGATCTATAACTTTCTTGAAATAAATAAAACAAATAGAGAAGGCGAAAAGGTTCTCATAATTTTGATGTCTGCTTGAGCGAAACGGAAAATCTTGTATATAATATTAAGATGGAAGAAAGAGAAGATAGGGACGGCTTTAACTCATACTGCAGGGAAATGACAAACCTTGTCATTTTTTTATATTTTCATTTTTAGTCTCTCCTTTAAACAAAGATGGTTTAGATATTTTGGGAAAGTTGTTAAGCTCAAATATTTAATGATATGGTAGGAGAAATTATGTTATTTTTAGATTTGGAAAATTTGCAAGGAGCATATTCGGTCGTTATATTAAGATTGTGCAGAAAATTATATTAGAAAAAACGTGATTTTTTGTTTCATTGTTTACACCCTTTCATTGGTTTAATTCTTTTCTAAGGGGTGCCCAGTAAAAAATGCGGTAAAGTCAGAAATACATTTATTTAGTTATCATGTTTCATGCACACACTGAATAATCATCGGTGATTTTCGAAATGTTTCTCTGAATGTTCAACACATTTTTTTAAGCGTGGTAACTAGGAGGGAGTAACTTTGCGGATAGTGTCCAAAGGAATTTCATTCCAAGCTTCAGTTAAGTTCCACTTTAATGAAACAATATCGACGATGACACGACGGCGGTTTAACTAGTGAGTTAGGAGTATACAGTCATCCATAATATTCAGATCCGGGCTTTTTAAGGGCCACAGCGATGGACCAATTAGAGTTGGCGTATTGTCTCCATGAATAAATTTGAAGCTTTCTTTACTGGGCAACCTGTATTATTACTTTTATAAAGTGATCCCTCGGTAAGCATTAGTAAAGACTTGTTTCTTCCCGGGGTGGGTTCAATATCTAAACGGAAGTGTGATTATCATTGGGTATTTTAATTTTTATACATATTTTAAAGTTCCTTTGTAATTATCGAAATAGTGCAGCCAAGACGTTCTTTAGCCATTTTAAATAGTATTTTTCATCCAGCCTTCTTTACCCGCCATACCAATTTTTCTGCCATTTAAAGACATATAAAAAGAAAAGTAACAGATACAATATAAGATGACGTATAAGTTTCAAACATTCCTTCCAGTTTAGGGCGATCAATATATCAATAATATAGAAAATTCTTTAAGTACTGATTGCATTTCACCATTTTATAAATCATCGTTGATTATCGAAATGTTTCCCTGAAGGTTGAAAACCATTTGTAAGCGTGGTAACCGGGGGGGGTGCTGTAACTTTGCGGATAGTGTTAAAAGGAATTCCATTCCAAGCTTCAGTTAAGTTCTACTTCAATGAATCAATATCAACGAAGTTACGACGACGGTTTTACTAGTAAGATAGGAGTATACAGTCATCCATAATATTCAGATCCGGGCTTTTCGAGGGCCACTGCGATGGACCAATTAGAGTTGGCGTATTGTCTCCATGAATAAATTTGACGCTTTTTTACTGGGCAACCTGTATTATTACTTTTATAAATTGATCCCTCGGTAAGCACGAGTAAAGACTTGTTTCTTCAAGAGGAGGATTCAATACTTAAACGGAATTGCGGTTATCATGGATATTTATTTTTGTACATATTTTAAAGTTATTGTAATTATCGAAATATTGCAGCCAAGACGTTCTTTGGCCATCTTAAATAGTATTTTACATCCAGCCTTCTTTAGTCTCCATACCATTTTTTCTGCCATTTAAAAACAAAACGAAAATAAAGGTAACAGATGCAATATAAGCTGAAGTACATTTTCTTCCAAATTAGGCGGAGCAAAAACATAAATAATAATGATAAAAAACTTGATAATTCCTTAAATACTGATTGCATTTCACCAATTTATGAATGCGCTAGGCCAAAGCAGAAATTGTCCAGATCCATCGATTTACCGCACAAAACAGCAGAAAATACCTTTGAACTTACAGGTTTAATGCTTTTTTTTTTTTTTTTTTTTTTTTTTGTTTTGTTTTTTTTTTGATTGATTAGTTTTCTGCGGCTGTTTAATCCATTGAAGGTTATTTAAAGCCAGTTAATATTTTTTTTTTTTAGATTGCAAGAATACTTTTTGACATAATGTTGGTTTAGTGATACATACAAGTCTTACTAATTACCCCGAATCTAGGTAGATGATATCTGGATTGATACCTTTCCGAAACATTATTACCCGTAACTCAATATAACGAACCCATCTGTAATTAAAACTTAACTATCCAATTAAAAATTCCAAGCCATTATCCATTTCAACACCCAGACATATAAGCACCTGGTATTCCCAGTACTGACTAGGATCGAAGTTGCTTAACTTAGTTGATTGTACGGGAACCGGTGTATCAATGTGATGTGTCCGTATACCTTTAGTGCAGTTAGGAGGTGCCGCATATGAATCAAATCTCACCCCCCAAATAAAAACAACATGCAGCATTATTATGTTTAGTTAGAGGCAACTGAGAAGCCAATCTATTGCATTGAACAAGATATTTACATAATCCCATCTTAATTTACCAAAACAAAACATAAACCCGTTCTCACTTTGAATTGAGAAGCCACGAGAGCAATGCCTGATGTGATATCAAGTTACTGTATATTTTAATTCCCAAGACAAAACATAAATATGTTTACACCTTCTGCTCGTTAAGATGAGCTGTCATTAATGACATGCCTCGTGTAATATATATGCGTAGTCCAACTTAATTCGCTAAAACATATACATGACAGCATTTGAAATTAGTTTGGACTAGAAGCCATGAGAGCAATGCTTAGTGTGACATCAAACTGATGTGCAATGACCAGACTGAATTTGTACATGTTAACGCCTCCTGTTATTAAAAATCAAAGATATTCCAAGGATTGTATTAAAATATTTTTTTTTATTTTAATATTTAATAAAATATATTTATAGATTCATTTATTGACAAATTTATTTTATTTTATTTTTATATTATTACTATTAGTAGTAGTAGTAATATTATGATTCTTATTAGTATTATTATTATTAGTAGTAGTAATAGTCGTATTTCTTTGATTTGTGTTGCATACTCATTTACTACCGGACAACATTAAGTCAAAAATGGCATCATGACACTTGAGCATTTTTGTAAAAACAAAACAATACTTAAGATTAGACACTTTTTTCTTTTTTTTTTTTTTTTATAGATAAAACCCTTCGTAAAATGTGAGCTGTACTTGGGAGTACATATTATTTTAGTTGTTATATATCTTTAAAGGTTTGGGCTACCAGACATCCTTTCAACGATTCTATCAGAACCTTTTCCAATCAAACCGAGGGCTTCAATTACAAGTGGAGTTTTTGATTTCCGCGTGTATCACATGGTCTAGATTTCCACTTGAAAAGCCTTGTATTTTGATAGTTGTTTGAAGATTTGTAAAGATACATTACAGTCTGCAGAAACTGCTATGTCAATGAGAAATCACATTTTATTTTTGCGATCTCTGTTCACGATATCTGAATGATTCACATTTATCATAAATTATTAATATTATTATTTTTATTTTCTTTGATTTCTGGCGTTTACACATTTCTTTCCGGGTCCTGCCCAGGGACCTAAGGTTAGAAATGGCATCATGGCACTTTCCACTGACAAAAAAAAAAAAAAAATTACATAGATAAAGCCATTTATAAAGTGTGGGCTGTACTTGTCCGAACAATTTTTTGTATCTCCTTCAGGCATGGACTTCCAGGAATCCCTTCAATTAGTCTACTGCAATCTTTTCCAACCAGTCCTAGGGCTCCAACTACAACAGGGA